CAAAGAACTAAAAATAGAACTATCCCCCAGCCCACCCTCCCCTTGACACCCCTCACCTCCCCCACAATGCCACTAACTGGGTACCTAACCAAAGGGAATTTCTTTATCCATTCCTCCATTGATGGACACTTAGGTTGACCGTCTCTTTGCCGTTGTGAATAGTGCTGCAGTAAACACACAAATGCAGGTATCTTTTTGGTATAACGATTTCACTGCCTTTGGGTAGGTACCCACTAGCTGCCTGGGAGGCTGAGGTGGGAAGATGGCATCAGCCCAGGAAGCAGAGGTTGCAGTGGGCCAAGATCACACCACTGCACTCCATCCTGGGTAGCAAATGTCTCAAATAGATAAATAAAATTATTTTATTCCCCCAAAATATTGTAAAAATTTGCACTCAATTTAATTGACTAGGTTTAAAAACCTTCAAGTATTTTGTTATAAGAAATGAATTTTTGAATAATGTAGCAATATTCTAAAAATGAATCTTATTTTAAATCTATTCTAAAAATATGGATTTCAGAATATTGCATAAATTGTTTTCAACGAAGATTTTCAAAACCATTTTAAAAAGTAAATTTGAACAAATACATATGAAGAAGTATATGTTATATAATATTTTTGGAAGAATACAGCGTATCGGGGGAAAATGGTACCATTTGCCAAATTAAAAAAAAAAAAAAGATTAGCATCATTGCTGTACTATTTCTAGTTTGTATATGCACAGTTATTATGATAAAATGTCCAAAAAGAATCTCTACTGCACATGGTCAGCCAAACCGAAATCAGTGATTTCTAATCCGTTACTTTTTAAAACAATGGTAGTTTTTCTTGTTAACTGTATTATCATTTTAACCTCCAGCGTACAAATTCATTGACATTAAAGATGCTGGGTGGGCTGGTTGGTGAAAACAACTACTTAGGCTCTTGAGGCACCTGTGAAGGACCCCAGGATTCCAGGAAATGCATGTTGAAAACTGCTTTCAAGATGTATCCATTGGTGTATAGGAATTAGTGAGGCAGTCCCAAAGGAACTTTTTGTGTGTCTGTGTGTGTGACATAGCCTGTCTCTGTCGCCCAGGCTGAAGTGCAGTGGTGCAGTCTCGGCTCAGTGCAACCTCCACTTCCCAGGTTCAAGCGATTCTCCCACCTCAGCCTCCCAAGTAGCTGGGATTACAGGCACGCAACACCTCACACAGCTAATTTTTTGTATTTGGTAGAGACAGGGGAACTTTTCTTTTATACTACCAAAATTAGGGACCTAGAACTAGGTTATGGATCATCTATTCTGAATCCAGAGAGAAGTATACAATAAAATTAAACTTTTCCACGGGTCCTGTGATAAGTTGGCATTCCCTTAATTGGCACCTGGTCATGTAGTCACATTTACACGAAACCATGTCTTGTTGCAAAGCACATGTTTGCTGGAGTTGCGTGAACTAAGAGGAACCCCAGGGCATCAAGGTTAGCACATGTGCTCTAGAACCAGGTAGCCTGGCTTTTGCGTCCTGGTTTGCAACTTCTTATCTCCATGACCTTGTTAATTTTCTCTATATATACCTCATTTCCTCTTGTGAAAATAATATCTGCCTTGCAGGGTGGTTGTGAGAATTAACACATGAATATTTCAAATAGTGTTTGGCACGTGGTACGTTTTCAGAATATATGAACAACAATGGCTGCTACTACTAGGTGTCTCAGATCAAATGCATTTTCAAATGTAATTAAAATCCAAAGGATCTTATAAAGTATCTAATTATCCAATAGCATGTGAACACAAATTAAGCATAGACAAATGCAAAAATAATGTTCTTAATATAAGACTTGCTGTTTTAAACCACTGCTTCATAAACATTTATGGGCATGTCAGTTACCTGGGGGAGCTTGTCAAAAAACAGATTCCGGCTTCTCTCTTGCAAAAGATGGGGCAGGGTGGGGGACACAGGATTCCGCATTTCTGATAAGCCCCAGGCTGCTGCTGCTTCCTCCTCAGAGTGGACTAGCAAGTTCTAGAACATCTTATAGCATCTGACTTTATTTTGTTAAAACCTGCTTTACTGCTGATAGTTATTTTTCATAAAGGAAGCAAAGAATATGTGGATTTTAAAACTAGTTTGTTCATAGTTTCTGCCATGGAACCTTTTAAATACGCTGTTCCTGGATATCTTGATGGTTGAGAAGGACCACATTGTCTGTCTCTTCATCTAAGCACTGGACTAATCCCAGCCTGTCAGACATCAAACATCCTAGTTTCCTGAGGAGTGCAGTACCGCTTTGGGGAACAATTAGTTACTGATGGAATCAGTGCTCGAGAAATTTAAGGAATAAATCGCACCACTTGTCATCAGCTTTAAGCATTAAAGTGCGGTGTAAAGTAAAGCTTTGGCTCCAGAGTGAGCTTTCACACTTCTGGTCCAATAGGTCACGGGCACTAATTCTTACTAAAGCAGCAACTACATCAGAGAATACTGGTAGGTGGAGGAGGTAGGAGTGGCTGCTTAAATAGTGTTTTCTGGAGTTAGATGACTTCTTGCATATTGGTACCACATGCAGGGAAAATTAGGGTGATGTATTGTGTCAGGGTAGCTTTACATAAGGAGAATTGCATAATTGTAGAATTAATACGTTTCTGGGGCTGCTTAGGATCCCATTTCAATGCTCAGCTGAAGTCTTGGAGGCCAGACGGCAGACTGCACTAGGAGGAAGTTCCTGATTTCTCCTTCACCATGGGTGTGTCATGGACTGACAGCTTCCCCATTCAGACCTCTGGACGCCTTCCTTGCCCCGTTCCAGCCCCTGACTCCTCTTCTCCTTCCCCTTTCCCAATATCCGCTGATCCTGCCCACTCTTAAAATGATTTTGGTGGCTCACTGTTTTAGGGAGGATCCTCAAGTTTGTGGTCCTTTCTTTTTTTCTTTTTTTTTTTTTTTTTGAGATGGAGTCTTACTCTGTTGCCTAGTTTGGAATGCAGTGTCAGCAATCTCAGCTCATGGCAACCTCCACCTCCTGGGTTCAAGCAATTCTCCTACCTTCCTAGTAGCTGGGATTACAGGTACCCACCACCACACCTGGCTAATTTTTGTATTTTTTTTTTTAGTAGATACGGGGTTTCACCATGTTAGCCAAGCTGGTCTCAAACTCCTGACCTCAGGCAATCCACCCGCCTCGGCCTCCCAAAGTGCTGGGATTACAGATGTGAGCCACTGTGCCCAGCCAAATTTATGGTCTTTATTGTGATGTCATGCCAGCCTCTGAGAGATAAGGCTGTTTGGGAAACAAAGTCAGGAAAAACGAGCCACTATTTTATAAATGACAGGGTGGTCACTGTTTGATCTTGCTGAAAATTTTTAGTGCTATGTGAAAAGAAAGTCACAGAGTTATCAGAACTTTGAGGCATTTGGTTGGATATGGAGTTTATTGGAATATGGATTTTCTGTTGCTTGTTTTTCTGAATCTAAGTGATAATAAAAATAATAACTAACATACATATAGCACAGTGCCAGGCACTATTCAACATGTTTTCCATCTATTGAGGTATTTAACATGCCATGCCATCCTAGGTATACGGCGACAGTAGTCCTCCGCCTTATCTGGTTTCAGTTACCCACAGTCAACCACGGTCCGAAATATTAAGGTAGAAATTTCCAAAAATAAACAGTTTGTAAGTTTTAAATTGCATGCAGTTCTGGGTGGTGTGATGAAATCTGGTGGTGTCCCACCCAGCACGGGGACCGACCCTTTGTCCGTGCTGTCCATGCTGTGTATGCTGCTTGCCCATTAGTCACTTCGTAGCAGCTCCATTATCTGATCGAAACCGATCGTATGTATGAGGTTCAGTACTGCCTGCAGTTTAAGGCATCCACTGGGGTCTTGGAACATATCCCCAGTGGATAAGGGAGAATACTGTGCCTCCTTTTTCTGGCAGAGGATCTGAGGCACAGCAAGGTTAAGCTGCCTGTCAGTGGTCATATACCAGTAAGTGAGAAATTCAAACAAGGCACCCTGTCTCCAGAATCTGCGTTCTAACCTCTTCAGTGTTACTGGAGTCTGTTTCTCTCCAAGATCCCAGAGCACATCTTAAATAGTCTCCCTTAGAATATAAACATAACAAAGTGAAGAATTAAAGCTCAGATTTTAAAATTGCCTCACACATTGTGTGCTAAAACAAAACAAAACTGACTTTAGAGCTAACAGGAAGCATAACAAGAGGCAGTGTGTCGGCAAATCTGTAGCCCCAGACACATTGGCAGGCATAACTAAAAACTATATATTCAATGGATTAATGAACTAAAGCAAGTCAACAGTTCTCAGTAAAGAAAACTTTTAGTGATGCCTACCACTTAATCTAAAATGAATTTTTAATGTTTTCATGTTTTGCTACTCTTAAAAGTATAAGCTGAATAGCTGGGTGTGGTGGTTCACACCTATAATCCCAGTACTTTGGGAGGCAGAGGTGGGCAGATCACTTGAGGTCAAGAGTTTGAGACCAGCCTGGCCAACATTGTGAAACCCGACTCTACCAAATTAGCCAGGCATGGTGGCACACGCCTATAATCACAGCTACTCAGGAGGCTGAGGCACGAGAATCACTTGAACCCAGGAGGCGGAGGTTGCAGTGAGCAAAGATCGTGCCACTACACTCCAGCCTGGGCAACAGAGTGAGACTTCATGTAAAAAAAAAAAAAAAAAAAAAAAAAAGAATACATAAGCTTAAATTTAAATGTTCTGGAAAATGTACATATGAATCACAAGATAAGAGGGTGCCATATCTCATGGAAATCAAAACCTGCTGATCTGCCAATGAAGGAAAATTATACATATTTGAACACTTGAATCTGAAGTACCCAGGGATCCCAGTGTCTTTTTATATTGTTAAAATAATTAGATTTCTGATAAGCAAATTGGTTTTTTTTTTGCCTTGTAAACAGTAGAATTTTATACAAATATAAAGTTTTGCACCTTCAAACCTATCATTCCGATAAGACACTTATTCAATAAACAAATAATCTTAAAAATATCTTTAAAATGTACAAATATATTCACAACATAATCTGCTGATTAAGACTTCAACAAAGTTTATAGTACCTACAACAGAATTTACAGATGCCTACAACAGTTTGTAGACTGGTTTAGTTTACAGTTACATCTAGTTTACAGTTACATCTATTGCTTTAAGAAATACCATTAATACACATGTGTAATTTACAATATCCTCATTATAGCAAGAAAAAAATAGATTCAGAAAATAAAATGTCTTTTTAGGCATTTATTATGCCAAGTATGTAAATGATTATTCCCATTATCACATGGGAATAATGCTCTTTAGGTAAAAGATACATTTATTAGCTCAAGGTCCACTGAAGAGTTTTCTATCTAGCTATCCTTTCTGCAAAATGAAGAGAACAGCAGCAATCTCTGGGTATTCCTTAAACAAACTATGATGATTCCATTTATATTAACTGGGCCTTAAGTAAATGACTTCTTACAAATAAAAATAAAATTTTAGAAAGTAGTTATTATCATTGGCCTTAATTGTTTTCACTTGCTTGCATATGTCTAAGAAATTTCCCCTTCAAGTACATATTAAAAACTAACAATTATTTCTAACTTATACATAAGCCAAAGTGCTCACTCTTAACCATGGAAGCAAAACTTACTTCTGAAAATAATGTAAAGAAATAATTTGTAAACACATAGAGCTTTCAGACAGACTAAAAACATCCTTCTGTGTTCTGTGGATCAAAATACAAAGGTCTCTATTACCTATGTAAATGAACACTTTCACTAACTTGGGATATATTGATATGACATGGCTGCGTGCATACCTATGAAACACGTGCATACCTACACCACAGAACAAATCTTCACAACGTTTCTAGAGCCAACATATACTTTCTAGCCCCAACTGCTAGAAAGGAAATAAAAGCTTAATAAGAAAACTACTTTTTATAAATAAAGTTTTTAAGTGGAAAAACAAAGCCAACACTCCTTGTTGCAATATGGACTAAGCTCTAAAAGGTTCAGAGTCAAGAATCTCTTCGGTTGTTCCCCAATGTAACAAAGCACATAATCTTTCTCTCTTCAGGAAGTCTGATCATCTTCAGTGTTTTGTCTTAAAAACTGCTTTCCAAGATATGAAGTAGCCATGCTGGTTAAATTCTTTCTGCTGCCCACCTTACACCTGATGTAACCTTACAGGTTGGCACCCTGTAGCACCACACCCATGATAACCACCGCCAACCACTTTATTCTGAAGGAGAAGAGGGCACTAAAGGCAAATATCACCCACAGCACTGGACAGGCAATAAGTTCCAACCGAAAGATCCTTGATTCAGCCTCTGACACAGTTTTATTCTCTTGAGAGGACTCCTTTCTAGATTCAGACACCCAATGGCTTTTTCCATCTTCATCAATGTGATTCCACCAACGTAGGCCAACCATTAGTCTACCTGTGACATTCTGATTTTGGATTTTCTTGGTCTATTAGTTGTCTCCTCTTCCGCATCAAACAGTGAAACATCTTCAGTGTCATCATTACTATCCTGCTGCAACATGGCGGCCCTCAGCAAATTGTTAAAGTAATTAGACATTGGAAGTAAACTGAACACAGACTTGATAAATGGGACTAGTGTGTTGGGAGAGTGCCACCTATGGGCGATGGCATGTACTACAGCACCGGTAAGCTCTGACGTATTCAGATGTAGAAAGATGAGAGTGGTTTTAAAAAACACATCCTAAAGGAAACAGAAGATGCCACAAAAGAAACTGAAAAATGTGAACAAATTTTAATGAAACACTAATATTGATCAAAATACAGAGGCATGGTGCTCTCAGTGTTGCTAAGAGAGCAGTTTGAAGAGACAGACTTACACATCTGAATCAAAAATTCTAGTTCTGGGACTGATAAAAGAACAAATCGATTTTTTAAAAAGTCTCTTGAATAAAAGAATAAAGTACAAAGGCATGATGTGAATAGGCACTTAGGAGCTGTTGATTTGAAGCAGTATCAGTATTTATCCAACTTCCTTTGAGAAAGGTACACTGTGCTATAGGGCAATAGAAGATATTTGTCAGAGTTATTCATACTCCTTTAAATAATGCTAAGAAGAATGATTATTACTGTATATAAATTATATACAGCTTGTGATTTATAAGAAGAAATAAGTAGGCTGGGTGCGGTGGCTCACACCTGTAATCCCAGCACTTTGGGAGGCCGAGGCAGGTAGATCACGAGGTCAGGAGTTCAAGATCAGCCTGGCCAAGATGATGAAACCCGTCTCTACTACAAATACAAAAATTAGCCAGGTGCAGTGGTGGGCGCCTGTAATCCCAGCTACTCGGGAGGCTGAGGCAGGAGAATCGCTTGAGTCTGGGAGACGGGGAGGTTGCAATGAGCTGAGATTGCACCACTGCCACTGCACTCCAGCCTAGGCAATAGAGTCAGACTGCATCTCAAAAGAAAAAAGATGAGTAAATGATCTGAAGTGAAATCTAAATTATTTATAACTTACCTGTTTTCAGTTTTAGTTAAATTACGTACATGTTATTTATTTTATTATTTAGTGAATACGTACTGTGTACTAGGGAAACAATTCTAGAACGCATCTAAAGTTGTATTTAATGAAATGCATAAGTAGTATAAATTATTCCTAATTATTATGTCTTTTAAATGTGCAAATGATACCTCACTTAATAAATTCACCATTTGCTATGACAGAAAATTTTTTAATCCTTCCTAATATCTAACCTACCCAATTTTTCATATCATTTTGCAAAAGTAAAGAATTTGGACTATCTTAAAACAATTCAGCTAGTGATTTCTTCCATACCCATGCATGGCCCTTTCATGTTCCCAAAGACCTCAGGGTAAAAATTTTCACGATGTGCTTGAAGGTGTGAAGGAAGACAGGGATTTGACTCATGAACTAAACTTGCAAAAATATTGTAACTGAGCCATAGTTGCAAAAGGCCTGTCAGCAGTCATGGTATAAAGGCTTTTCCAAGAAATATGTTTCCAAAAAATGTTAATAATTGCTTTGGAACATCCTACTTGTGAAGCAATGAGTGGTCTCTGCCTTTGGTTTAGGCAATCCAGGGATCTCTTTCTGCTTTTAGTCCTGGCTCTGTGACACTGCACTGGACACATTACTTAATTTAACCTCCTTGATCCAAAGTTGAGACCTCTTTGTGAGGTTATGATAATTAATACAATCAGCTTGAAAGCATTTATCCTTTCAATCATAGATCCTTAGCATTATAATTAAAGAAACAGTAACAATTAGTCACCTACAATGGAAAATTAAAAGCAAACTAAAAAGATATAAAAGGCCTCCAAAATCGAGTGGCCGTCATGCGTGTACCCAGAATATCTATCCAAACAAGTAAGTGTTACGGTTCTCTGGCACTGAACTCTTGGTATCCATGGAACTGGATTGAATGGATGTTATATGAGATGGCCAGTAAGCCAATTATATTCTTCCTCATTGAAAGGATTCTTTCATTTATTTAGAAAGCTTTCTCTCACCCCTCCTAAAGAAAGGTTGAAAATACTTCTACTACTATCAAAGGATTATTGCGAAATAAAATTCAGTAGTGAATTCAAATTCAAAGTAGCTCTTTGATGTAATGTGATCCTTATGTTCATTTCCTCATTTGAAATCCTAGTGGTTTCCTCCATATCCATCATGGCTCTTACATGTTCATGAGGGTTAAATGTGGTAATGCATGAGACAGGCTTGGCCTACAGTAAATGCACCATAGCCAAAGGCATTAGCAATTATTATGAATCAAATCCTGTTCTAGGAAATGAGTCAGTGTTTATCGCGTACTGCTGCCTGGTTATCCAGTGCTAGAAGTCTCTTTGAAGGGCCAAGAATCAAATACAATGACAGATAGGAGGGTGTTCATGGAATACCACAGACCCAAATACCTCTATGTACCTGCAGAGAAGCTCCACCTGTGCCCTGCCAGGCTCCTAAACTGCCAGTGTAAGTTAGGAAGTCAGAGAGAGGCTTTATGCACAGAAAGGACCATTTCTGTTGGGTTTTAAGGAACATTCAATGTACTCAATTTTTAAATGTTAAAACCTAGATATTCCTAAGAATTTGATTTCAGCTTTCAAATTTTATCATCCTATTTACAAGTCCGATAACCTTCTATAAAATAAGATCAATTTTTATTTGTCGATGGTATGTATGTCTTAAAGAACGGATTAAACTTAAAAGTTCTTTCTACAGGCCAGGCACTGTGGCTCACACTTATAATCCCTAGCACTTTGGGAGGCTGAGGTGGACAAATCACAAGGTTGGGAGCTCAAGACCAGGCTGACCAGTGTGATGAAACCCCGCTCTACTAAAAACTACAAAAATTAGCCAGGCACATGGAGAATCGCCTGAACCCTGGAGGTGGAGGTTGCAGTGAACCAAGATCGTACCACTGCACTCCAGCCTGGGTGACACAGCGAGACTCCGTCTCAAAAAAAAAGTTATTTCTACACATAAATTCTATTAATTGAAATTTTGAAAACCTTGGTCTCCATCTCACAATCCTAATAAGCATTTAATTAGCTCTTAAATATTTAATTAGCTCTTACAAAGCTAATAAACCAAACTTAAAATACAACAAATTGAATTCCCTTATAAATTTAAATGATTACCAACCTAATCAAATTCTCCTAATCCTCATTCTTTTCTTCTTATTATTATTATTACTTTATTTTATTTTTACATCCTTTGAAACTAATCCTCATTCTTAAAATCCAAAATCTAAATTCAGTGTTGAGTTGAAATTGCAAGGCCTGTCAGGTTCTCTGATTATTTGATTCTCTTAGGCACTAACACATGTACAATAACAAGAATAAAAAAGGCCTCTCCCTAAGATGTGTCACAGAAAGTGTTAACATTCTAAGCTTAATTAACTTCATTATTTCTGTAGCAGAATTGCCATGTTAGGCCAGCTGAGGTTAGTGGGTAAAAAAATTCAGGACCCTGATTGCCAGTTGTCAATGGGAGAATGAAAACCAGGCAGTGGGACCTGCATCCTACAGTAATGAGTCTGCCCTGCCCACCGTGGAATGCCGAGCACCTTCTTCCTGCTTCCATGCTAACAGGGGACCCCAGATGATCCTCATGTATGCTGTTTTTATAATCAGTATATTCCATTGCAATGACTTTCAAGGGAATAATAAGACAGAACAAATAAATAGGACCTTTTATCCAACCATACATGCCCTCCCGTGGGAATCAGATACCTTCTCCTAAAAGGATATGCTCACCCCACTGAGATTCCCTACCAGATCAATGGCTGCCAGCAGGACAGGGCTTTTATGGCTGGTCAGGGCCGCTTTTACTAAACTGGAGAGGAGACACTGGATTTGTGAAAGGGCTAGATAAACAGGAATGAATGGCAGAGAAGCCAGGTACAAAAAGCAGGGACAATACATAAGAGGAAAAATACTAGAGGCTAAAATTTGGGTTTTTAAAAATATAAGCGTGTTTGGGCAGGTGCATTGGAAGGAAAGAAAGCAACGGGCAAGGAAGTCGCATTCCGGTTATGATCCGGTCATTGAAAGCAGAAGAAAAGTAAACATGCTTGCCTCAAAGTGAGGACAGTTAAAAAAAAAAAAAAAAACCCTGATAGAGGGGAAAACTTACTCCTTCGTTTCTTGCTAAACTGCTGAAGACAGAACTCTGGAGGAGTGTCCTGGAACAAGCTGCAGTTCCCAAACCCCAATTCCCTGGATTAGAGGTGAGTCAGCAAGCATCTGGAATGCCAGCCAGGGAGGACCAGTGGACCTTGCTAGACGGCACTGTAGCATGAACTCTCTATTTTGAAAAGTGATTGAAGCTAGTGTCTCAGTGTCCTTACCAACCATTAGAGAATCGTTCAAAACGAGAGGAGTTTAATTAACAGATTACTCGTTGGTGACATGAGCAGTTCTGAAATTTACTTCTTGTACATCTTGAGCCTTGGAGTGTCAGTTGTATTCACGGCATTTTTCTAAGAGCTATACTGCATGGAAGTGCTAGGAAAGTATTTGGCCACTCTCTGTTATAAAAAATACCCTGAATAGAAAATAAATTTCATGATGATATCACTGATGTCCTATTAAAATATTTCTAGTTTGATCCAAAGGAGAGAAATTAAGGCATGCATGTAAACAATCTGATCCTAAAAAGCAACACTTACTTTTAGTTAACAAGTGTATCAGCCTGTTTTCACTGCTATAAAGATACTACCTGAGACTGGGTGATTTATAAAGAAGGAGGTTTAATTCACTCACAGTTCTTCATATCTGAGGAGGCCTTAGGAGACTTATAATCATGGCAGCAGGTGAAGGGGAAGCCAGGCACTTCTTACTTGGCGACAGAGCAGAAAGAGAGAAAGAGCGGGGAAGTGCCACACTTGAAGCCATCAGCTCTCCTGAGAACTCCCTCACTATCATGAGAACAGTCCCCTCCCACCAGGTCCCTTCCTCGGCATGTGGGATTACAATGGTGATGAGATTTGGGTGGGGACACAAAGTCCAGCCATATCAACAAACAATCAAATTTATCTCAAAAGTAAAAGACTTACTTAGAAGTTTA